TGGAGAGCCGGCCTTAGGCCTCAGGTGACCCCACGCACCCGGGACCCCACGTCGATGGGCGCCCGCAGTGCGCGATCTGGTGCCTGCCGCTTTGGGCCGCACTGTGCGCCCTCCCAGCAGCCGGCGAGCGCTCTGTCCGCGCCCGATGCGAGGTGTAAGCCCCAGAGTGCGCGGCCACAAAGGCTCAGGTGTCACGTTTCCGTAGGAGCTAAAGCTCCTCACTGTATCGCGTGTCTTGCAAAGACTTCGTTCATTCGTGGTGATTAAAGAAAAGGACAATTGAAAAGACTTCCTTGCGAAGAACCGTGAGCTCAGTAAAGTCGCTGGATTCATCCCTGGGAAGAACTTAGTATTTCTGGCTGGATCCGTGGTAGGAGGTAACAAAACTAAAACAAAGCTCAGAAGGTGGGAATTGTGTGTTGTGAAATGGAGACAGTGGGGAGACCGGCCTGACGGAGCACAGCTATAATGCGTAGTACCTGGAAAGGGGAGTAGGGAGCTGGGGCTGGGTGGGTAGCGCAATGGTAGGGCGCTTGCTTGGGTTCCGTCCTGGGTTAGATCCCCAGCACCGCACTACAATACCGGAAGGGTAGGTACGTAAGTGAGGCCTTTTGTGGATGTCTTAAAGACTTGACAAGAGGTAAAAGATTCTGTAGGAGGTCCTAGGGGATTCTTTGGGTTCTTCAAGAAGGACTGATACGAAAGGAGGTGTTGAGGGGATTTGTTGGGCAGCTTTTGCTTCATTTAGATAGATTTGAAATGGCCTTTTGGTGAAAGAATCACAGCCTTTTAGATTTCAGTGGGCTCGTACAAGATTATTTCCTGAAACCCTTGAATTTTATAATCAAGGGACCTGATGCAGCACTTACAGGTGAGGTAATTTGTCCACTTGGAATTCAGACAGTGCCAACTTCTAGCACACCCCACCCTCCCGTGGCCTTCATAACTAGGTACACAGGCTTTTGTTTGTTCAGGCTCTGCTAAATGAAACAGCTTCTGTGGTGCCTATTTTTAATGCTTTCATGAGATTGAATTTGAATACACTGAACTATAACTTTCACAGGGCAGATCTCCAGGTTAGGGTGGCCACGGTTAGGAAAGAAAAGAGGATTCAGAGCCCCCAAATAAGGTCAGTTTTCCCTTTCCCCCAAGCTTAGAAGACAACAGGTATTTAGAGATGAGTTTCATTATACCCTGTTTACCAGCATCTTTGATTGGGATCGTTCTGCATTCCACACATAGGAGCAAAGGGAACTTCCACCCTCTGAAGGTTTGGTAGTCGTCTTCTGAAACAGATAATAGATTAGCAGGAGGAAAAACCGTACAGAATGTATTGTGTGAGGGAAAACCCACTGAGGTTTAGCAGTTTATACCCCTCCTGCACAGGGTGAGGGAAGTGGGTTTTGAGAAGAAGAGTAAATGATCTTTGGGGGAAATATAATGAGCCTGAAGACCAGATGATGCCCTGTTCCTCAGGTTCCAGGTGTGGTGTTGAGTCTGCTCTTCTGTCCTGAGAATTTTCCGTTGGATGAGGTTATAGAGAAAAGCCTTTCTTTGGAATTTAGATCCAGGATCTGCCTTGCAGAGATTGCACACACTCGTGTGTGATTCTGTTTGTAACAGGAAAGAGGCAGTGTGTTTGGTTAACTAGTATTTATTAAGCACCTGCGATGCTCAGGGTACTCTGCTGTTCCTTGCAATCCAAGGTGCAAAGGCAAAAGGCCATAAGAATGTATTTGTAAATTGAATGGCAATGTAATATTACCCAGCAATAAAAAAGAATGAAGGGTCAAGGTAGAACTTGATGGTAGAACTCTTGTCTAGCATGCCTGAGGCCCTAGCTTTGATCACCAGCACCACAAAAAATTTTAAAAAGAATGAACCACTGATAAATTTAACCTGATAGATTGATATGTTGTTTGAGACTAGATCTCACTGTGTGACCCAGGCTGGCCTGGAACTCTTAATCCTCCTACCTCAGCACCCTCCACCCCCACCCTCTGTTACAGGCATGTAGCACCACACCCAGCCTTAACAAAATAGATTGATCTCAAAATTACCATACTGGGGGGCTGGGGATTTAGCTCAGTGGTTCTGCTGCCTGCCTTGAAAGTGCAGTGTCCTGAGTTCAATCCCAGGTACCAAAAAAAAAAATTTTTTTATTACCATACTGGGTGAGAGAAGTCAGGCATATTAAGAGTATATACTGCATAATTTCATTTAGGAGAACTGTAAAGACAGACAAAAGAGAAATCTGAACAGGGGTTGCCTATTGAAAAGGACCTTTGACTGTCAGGTGTGGTGGTGCAGGCCTGTAATCCTAGCACTTGGGAGGCTGAGGCAGGAGGATCACTGTGAGTTCGAGACCAGCCTGGGCTACACAGTGAGTTC